ACTTTGGAGGTGTTTGGGTGGCGTTTGTGTGCTGCGCTGTAAACCCTAAACCCTAAACCCTCGCGCGGGGCCTTCTGGGGACGGAAGGCTTAGCGAAGAGGTGCAGCAGGAAACTTTTGCTGCTGCTGCTTTGAGGTTTTCGAAACTCTAAACCCTAGCAGCAAATGCAAAAAGTCCGACTTAAAACCCCAAACCCTAAACCCTAGACCTAAACCCTAGACTCGAGGATGCTAAGGCGTGAAGGCGCTGAGCACTAAACCCTAAACCCTAAACCCTAAGCAGCTTTCTGAGTGACTGACTGACAAGCTGTCGAAGCTGCTTCCGGGCCTTCTGCTGCTGCTGCTGCTACTGCTGCTGCTGCTGCTGCTCTGGCAGCAAACTTAGTTCAGCAAAACCCTAAACCCTCAAAAAGCTATTCCCGGTAGTGAGGGTTGGCTGCCTCTCTAAGGGGGGAGAGCGTGGGCCTGCGCTGCCTCTTGGGATTAGGGTTTAGGGTTTAGGGTTTAGGGTTTGGCGTGGGTTTGTCAGTCGTAAGGCATGAGTATGTCATTTGCAAACCACCACAATACATTTTGCTGCAGATCCTGCCTTTCCTTTTCCTGCTGCAGCACAGCAGCAGCGTCCCGGGCTCGCTCTTCCCGTTCTGCTGCTGCTGCTGCTGCTGCTGCTGCTGCTGCTGTGTCACGGCCACACGCGTCTCTAGTCTGCACGCAGGACGGTCCACGATCTGCAGCAGCTGCAGCAGCTGCAGCTGCAGCAGCTGCAGGGGCATCAGAACGCAAGGACGCAGCTCTTGCTGCTGCTGCTGCTGCTGCTGCTCCAGCAGCAGCAGCTGCTGCTGCTGCTGCTGTGGGGCCCGCAGGCGCTGCGTCCTTTGTTTGCGCGACAGAGCTGCTCCTGCTGCTTGCTGCCAGCCTGCTGCTGCTGCCGCTTCTCCGCAGCAGCAGCAGCCTCCTTTTATCAAGGACAAATTTAACAGCAGCAGCAGCAGCAGCAAAAGCGGGGGCTGAGGCGCTGCGGCGAATGGGCGGCGCTGCTGCGGTGTCTGTACACCTCAAGCTGCTGCTGCCGCACGAGGCCAGCCGCTGCCGCAGCGAGCGCCCAGCTAAGGGGTGGCTTCTGCTGCTGCTGCTGCTGCTGCAGCTGCTGCAGCTGCTGCTGCACCTGCTGCTGTGGCTGCTGCTACCCGTTCTGGGCGTGCCGCTCGTGCTGCTGCTGTCGCTGGTGTTGCTGTTGGAAGGCGCCGGCGCTGCTGCTGCTGCTGCTGCTGCTGCTTTTGTGTTTGCTGCACTCCTCCTCTTCTGTCTCCGGGCCTCCCGCGAGAGGTGCAGCAGCTCCATCTGCAGCGCAACAATTCCCGGTGTTTGCACAGCTGTCTGCTGCTCCTTCTGCCTTGCTGCTGCTGCTGCTGCTGCTGCAGCAGCAGCAGCAGCAGCATCTTTGTCTCTGTCGCGACTG